TTATTTCTATAGTAGTTGATTGTGTAATCTTTCCTTTTATGTTTATTTCCTTTTACAGTTATTTGTAACCCTATAAATAGGGTCTTCTACATTGTAATATTTAAAAGACCATAATAATACAATTTATATTTCTTGACATGTGGTGAATTGGTGCAAATTCCTTCTTCCCTTTTTGTACAATAAATTAAATAATAATAGATAAAAATTGTAATATAATTATTTATTTTTTTGTTCAATTTTTTAAAGAATAATACACAAAATGCTGTCAACCGAATGTAATAACAATATATGACATAGTTTCAAATGTAAAATTATGAGATTCGTGCGATTATTGGCTCTCGCTAGACTAGGAAATAGGTAGTAAATACTCGATTTTCTAAAGTTTTATCAACTTTTCAATTCTCCAAACTTCAATTTTAACTACATATTTTATAAATTTACAACTTTTATAAAAAAGTTTTTTCAAACAACCACTCGATAGGGATAGTTCAAGTATAAAATCGAGAATACTACTAGTATGTTTACAGTATAAATAAGATCGCTGGATCCTATCACTTTGTTAAGATTTGAGATTTTATCTTAATAGGTCAATCTTATTAAGAGAAGTAATCAAAACCCTTTATAAATTGGTCTATATTTTTATTTTTATTCGATGTGGGATTCTATCGCTTAACATGTTCCCGCAAGATGGTGGCTCGTTTGAACAAACAAATCTTAAAATCCGTGTGCTCAATTTTCTTGAGTCTTAATCACACCGAATTGCTCGTTGGAGCTTAATGAGCTCTGATACTATATTAAGGTTTGAGGTTCCAGATTAAATAAAGATGAAAAACATACCAATTTATAAGGATTTGAGATATTTCTCTTAATAAGGTTGACTTTTTAATATGAACCCCAATTCTTAACACACTTTCAATAAAAAGTTCAGAACGATTAACAACACTATAAGGTAGGACTTACTACTAAGTTAATCTCTTGAAACTAGCAAACACAAATGTGAAAAAAAAAAAATTGAAACTAGTGAATATGAAAAGTACTCAACAATATCTATTAATTCTAATTACTTCCTCTTGTTTTTGCTTCCAATCAAGAGAGCAAAATAAAATAAAATTCTGAAGAAAAATCCCAGAGCAATAGTAATCCACAGGCAATGCCATTTATCTATATCAGTAACTCCAGATTGCTTCAAAATATCTGATCCTGTTGTCAAGCATGTTGAGCTTGTAATGTTCATTCCCAAAGTTTTGCTCATGGATTTCAGTAATTTGAGCTTGATTTCATCAGGCACAGCCCTTAACGGTGAACTGTCGAACACCTGAATACCGCGAACAAAACATTTAGAAGGATCGTCAAATTCATTCTGTAATACGCCTTGGAACGGGTACTTCACTAGAGAAAGATAATGGAACCAAATCCAGTAGGGGGGAATTCGATCTCGGGATATGAAGAAGCCACTGAAGAGCACGAAATAGGCTAAAATGGCGACGACAACTGTGTAAGCCATCATCACATTGAAGATAACTCCAGAAAGGAATGTGACAAAGGAGCTTCCGGCCCAGAAGGACGCGAAAATGAAGGTGAGAAAGAAGAGGAAACCTGAAGTGCCACCGGCTAAACCAACAGCCCAATAGGTTATTACAGCAAATGCAAGTGAAAGGACTAATAGAGAAGGGAGGGACAGTAAGGCATGGGAGACAACATAAGACGAACGACGATAAGCATTGTAAGCAGTTTCTCTCATGAAGATGTAACGTTGGAGGAGAAATACTGGAATTGCTTCAGCACAAGTGTAAAAAGTTGTGGACATGGCAAAGGCAAAGAACCCTAATCTTTCTTGAACTCCTTTTGGGGTATTATCTAGTTTCCTAAAAATTGTGGCTAGGATAAATCCAGTTACCAAAACTGCTCCAAATCGTACTCCGAAAAGCTCGGGAGCCCTTCTTGAATTTGTGATTGATCTTTTGGCTATTACAAGAACTTCAATCCAAAAGGGATTTGCAAATGTTGGAACTGAAGATGAGAGATTTGAATCAACATTCGTTGAACCAGAAACCAGTTTTCCCATTGAAATGCTTGCACTTATGGCATCTTTGAGTGATAGTCTTGGTCCATTTGAGTGGCTGATTCTAGGATTCTTCATTTGCCAAGACTTGTTGAAATCCACCAAACTTTTGGTTCCACCGGGGTTTCCTTCTAGCTCCCGGATATAATCAAGAGAAAATTCAGTCCGGTCCTCGTTTTCCGGAATTGGATGCCCGTACTCCGAGAAGAATCGTGGTAGGGTCGTCGGTGAACCACTAAACACCGTCTGTCCACTCGAAAGAATGATCAGACGGTCCAACAGGCTGAGAATTCTATAACTTGGCTGATGAATTGACATGATCACTATACTTCCACTTTGGGCAATTCTTTGCAAGACTTTCACCACCATGTATGCACTTGTTGAATCAAGGCCTGATGTGGGTTCATCAAGAAACAGCAGTATAGGGTCATGAATTATATCAGTTCCAATTGAGACCCTGCGCCTTTCACCACCGGAAACTCCTCTATGGCCTTCATCTCCTATCACCGTATTGGCCGCGGTGTGCAGGCCTAATTGATCAATCAGTGCTTGAACTCGAGCTTTCTTCCGTGACTTGGGCATAGACCTTGGAAGCCTAAATTCAGCAGAGAACATAAGGGTTTCTTCCACAGTTAACATGGGGAATAAGAGATCATCTTGCATCACATAAGCTGATATAACTTTGAGAAGCTTAGACTCCAACATTTCACCATTTAAAGTGACGATCCCTTTGAGACTCTCTCTTGATATACGATCAGCCAAGGCATCGATCAACGTGGATTTTCCCGATCCACTAGCCCCAAGAACAGCCATGATTTCCCCTTCTCTAGCTTCCCCAGAGATGTTATTTAGCAAAACTTTAGTTCCCGATTCGTTCTCCATCAAATTCCCGGAGGATCCATTGGCCGAAGTCCTCCTAAAACACGAAGGAATGATTTTTCGACGAACTTCTACACTGTATGTAAGATTATGAAAGGAAAGAACAAAGGGCATAGAAGCAGGTTGATAAACATGATCATGATCAACCTCAAACACTGGGTGTGATGATGGACAGTTATCATTAGTCGAGTCTCCCACTCGCTGTAAAAGCTCACCAAGTGTTCTAGAGACGTTATGTCTTGGTTTTCGATTGAATTCTTGAAGTTCCATGGCTTGTCTAGGACCGTAAAATGGAAGGTCACTAGCCATGGCCAAGTTGTCTCCTTCACCTCCACCTCCACCTCCACCAGGCATGAATATATGGTTTTGAAAAGAAGATTTGGGTGAGATTTTGGGGTTGTTCAATTCATGATGTATAAAAAGCAATGAATATGGTTACTCCATCTCGTTGCCTTACGTGTGGGATTGAGTAGGTGAGAAGTTGCACTGCCTTTCTACTGCTTCTTTATACTGTGAGTGAGAATAGTTCCAAGTCTAAAAGGGTGCAAACTGCCCAACGTCATGTACTCGCGTTTCAAAGTACCTAGGGCATGTTTTGGATAAGTCTATAATATTTAAATCACCTTTTAAACATATTAAGATAATTTAATTTTTTTTTCTCATTTTATATAAAAAAGGTAAATTTTACCTATAATTGCTTTTTTTTTTTTTAAAGAAAAACAAACTCTTTTTTCTTATTACTTGTGAGCGAACCTTTTAAGCTACCTAAAAATACTCCTAATAAGAGAATTTAAAAAATATGATTTTGCGTGACAATATGATCACTGTCATATTGTCAATAAAATTAGATGCATTTTTATTTATCGAACAATATTATAGCTGCTACATAAATTGATACGAAACACCACTCGTATTGATTAGCATTTCTCTAAAAACATGATTTAAAAAATTGGTAGGGTCGCATGAAAAGATTGATGTGTCCCTTAAATTATCTTGTGGAAAAATCTAATACGATGCTATGTGTACTGTCATTAGCGGGCTCCACCTTAATTTGTGGGAGTGTAAATTTAAATCCCTCTAATGACTGTTTTCCATTATAATATTAGTGGGTTATCCTACTTAATTAGTACTATTCAATGCAGTGTGCCGATAGACTTAGATTAAATATATGAGTTGTTTGACAATTTTTTTTTTTTAAAATCAAATTTTTAGTATATTTTGATAAAAATTGATGAAATGTGTGGTTAAAAGTTGTAAATCTCATTAAATGTATGATTAAAATTAATTAGTAACTTTACCCTCAATTTTTTAACGACTTTTTAAGCTTTCATAAATAAACACAATTTATCTTGATGGAATTTTAGTCGATATGAAGGCTAAAACGCGTATGAATGAATACTTTTTTTTTTAGTAAAACTAAATATATTTATGAAATTCAGTTTAATACTAATGTTCTGTCTTTTTGTAACGTGTAATAATTCATATTATGTTTCACTTTCAACCCTTCAAATAAGCAATTTTTTCATTGCACGATGATATTGCCCAATATTGATGAGTTCATTTTTTCTCGTTGAATAATAAGTGAGATGTTACGGATAAAAATGTGACTTTAATGTGGTGGCCAAAATTTCCTAATCTCTATTGCACACGAAATCCAATTTTGAAAAGCCATTTGTTACAGTTGATGGAATGTCAACATTATTCACCAATTCTTTTCTTTATGGCATAATTGCAGCAAAAGCCACAAACGTTTGAAATATTAACAGACTTTCTCCAAACTTTTCAAACGTTACAACTGTCACCCATAACATTTCCAACTGTTGCATGTGAGGCCCTTTTGGATTGTTTCCATCCAAAATGTCGTTAGTTGAAAAATGTATAGACGATTTTACCCTCTCCTATTTTGTTAGAAAATGATCAACATTTATTTTGGTGGTCAACTAACGACATTTTGGATAAAAACCTTCCAAAATGACCTCACATGCAACGGTTGGAAATGTTAGGGGCGACGGTTGTAACGTTTAAAAGGTTTGGGGAAAGTCTGTTAATATTTCAAAATTTTGGAACTTTTGCTGCAATTATCCATTTATTTATTATACAAGAAGAATTTGATCTAATTAAACTATCTTTCTTATAGTAGGTATGGGTGTTCATCTACTGCCCCACCATTTTTGTTCTTGGATTATTTCAAATCAAGTCGAATTTTCTCTAATTAGGGTTTTACAAGGTTTGATCAATTTATTAGTTAAACACAAAGTTTTTATTATTAGGGCAATCAAGAAAAAAAATAATTATTTTACTTTTCTTACCGAAAAAGAAATAAGATCTTTGGTTGTCTCGTGTTGCCCAATTTGTATAGCAAATTTGGCGGAGTTGTGCAGAATGGACTCGAAATAAATAAAGAAAAGATGTGGGAGATATTTATTTGTTGATTTATAGTCAAAAAAGGCAACTCTATCAATCGAAATCTCGTCATGACCTTAAATCTAATTTATTAAAATTCATAATTAATTTCCACAAGTGCCAAAATAAGTGGTTTTATTTTTCTTTTGAGCTAAAGGGGTTAGTTTACTTAGCTCAACCAGCAAAACCTTTAACCCAGCTACAATAAATTTTTAACACAATTGAATTAAATATTTTTGCAGTGTTCGTTAATGTTGCGTTAAGATTTTTTGCAATGTTCACTGAGTTTGCCTTAACTTTTGTGTTCACTTATTGACAACATTTTTAGCTCGTTGTCTTTTCTTTTACCTTCTCCTTTCGGCAAGATGTTTTGACCGCTTCCGTAGTCCTTTTATGTTTTTTGTCTATTTACTTTTTATTTTTTTCTTAGCAAGTATAGAATTAGCTAACAAATAAAGATTTGGAAAACTTTTCTTAACAAGTAATTAATCTCTTAACAAGAAATTTCAAGATTCAATATGGTATCAGACGCTAATGAATTCAAACAATCAATCAGTCAATCCATCTAAAACTCAAAGGGGCACATGAATTTCAAGAGTTGAGTTCTTAAAAAGGGTTGTGCTACTTCTACATTATGGCATCCATAATGGATGACATAATATACAAGTGGCAGTACATTATTGGAGGGTGTGCTGGCCCACCGGCACACCCTCCAATAAGATAANTGTGCTACTTGTACATTATGGCATCCATAATGGATGACATAATGTACAAGTAGAATTATCCTCTTAAAAAATTACCATCTTTCGAGGACATGTATAATCCTATATAGATTAGGTCCATGTTTGGTTTAACTATTTTTTTTATATAAATCTAAGTCAAAGTCAGTAATTAATTTTAATCACGCTTTATGGACCCACAACTTTTCAATCATTCGTTTCATCAACTTCTATCAAAACTACAAAAAAATTAATTTTTATCAAAACCAAATGGAGGCTAAATATAAAAATATTGACCACCGTATAAGAGGTTGGTAAAATTCTCTAAAAAATCTTGATATTTTAAGATGAAACCCCATGACTGAATAATTTGATCCACTAAACATGATAAATGGACAATCTTTAACTTGTTTTCTTTTTAATCAAGTTGACTTTCATCGAATTCAATATAACAAGCGTGACGTTATTATCAAATTATAAGAGGTGAAGTATATAGCCACGTGGGTTTGATAATTGATTATGATGAATCTTGATGATAAAATAGGCTGAAAATGAGGACACATTAGTCAAAGTACAAAAAGGTTTCATAATTTGTGACGAAATAACACACTCAATCAAGAATGTAATAAAGTGTGGAACAAGAAATGAAAAACTTGTGAGCCAAGCCATGTGCTACCCATTCCCAAGTGCATGTGGTAGTTATTAATACCCTCTACAAGTAACAACATTCTTAGAATGCTTCAACATATTCAAACAAATGATTAAACACATTGTTGAGGTTGTATTTGGATAGATTTGAATAAGATCAAGAACTTAACCCCTGTTTGGTGTAGATTAAAATCAAGTTTCAATAGATTTTGATAAAAGTTGACGATAAAAGGCTTCCACTTTGTCTCATATTGGATCTCTTTTCAGATAGCTGCATAAATTCTTTTGTATTAAGCTTATAAGAAGGATGTCTTCTTCTTGTCCAAACACACCTATTTCTCTACATTAGCCTCAGCAAGATATCTTTTCTCTCTTGTGATAACCATAACTCCAATTCCTGCTGCTCGACAGACCTAAATGTATTGAGAAAATTCTTCGCAAGGGGGATCCTTAAATAATCAGAGAGATACAACAATTAGACTGGAATGAAAAAATTTCTGTGCACAATAATCAAAGAAAACTTACTGAAAATTATGGAATTGTTCTCCTGCCCAAGGTGGGCAGAATAAGGCTGTCCACCTTGGCAGGAGCACCCAACGTTGGGTTCTCTCCAAATGTGAGAACCCAACGTTGGGTTCTCTCCAAGTGGGCATAATAAGATTTCTCACCGTAGGCAGTAGAACAGACCTGCTGAAAACTAACCAGGTAAAAACTTACGCTCAGCCCAATTAAGCCAACAAATATTAGATCAGTCCCTATTGATTAATATTTCAATGTCTCCAGCAGAAGACTGTGAGCCAGATGATCTTCATTACCATCATAAGTTACAAATTCAGGAAACTCATCCTCGAATGTGAAACCAAGACAGCGCAAGGCATTTGTCGACATTTCATGGAGCATTTGCGAAATTAAAGCCTTTGTACTTCGGTCAAATTTCACAACAGTACCATCTAGCAACTGCATTGATTTGCTTCTCTCCAATACATTTTCTACAAAACTCTGCCATCATGGAACCATTTAGTTCCTTTAAACATGCCAGCATAGTTGTCAAAATCTACATTGATATAACGTTTACATGACACCTAATTCATATCTTTCCGTATTTCTCAACCATGCAACATTAATTGGAGAAAATCTTAAGATTCAGAAAATGATAAGCTAAGAAGATAGCACACCCAAGTTCTGCAAACTAAACCATGGAGTCGTTCTTGTTCTGTATAAGTAGGGGCATGTACAAAGAATATATAATCATTGCCTAATTGTTATTTTCCCAATTTTAAATATCAAAAGACCATACAAACTAATATAGTAACGCGTGCATATTATATTCAAAACCCTCCTTGAAAAGTTTTCAATTACTGAGGATGGGATAACTCAAAGATAACCTTCACAAGCAATGATGTTTTGCCTGATTGAGACTTGACAGTAACGCCCATAGACTTCCTTGTAAGACCAATTAATTTGGCCCAAGTATTTTTATTAATAAATTACTTAATAGTGGTTAATTATTGTTAAAATTCTATTAATCCATTAAGAAGTGATAGTTTAATAACTGTCTATTTTGATGGAAAGTGGGTAGTTTTC